ATTTAGCTCTAATTTGCTACAAAGACTTAACAATTATAGTAGAAATGCCTTGTGAAGAAATAACAATTCCTTTTATCAGGTTTGTGTGTGGTTTGCTAAGGACATCTACTAATATATTGCATAAATTCAGGGCAGTTGTGTCTATATATCAGAGGTTTCAGATGAAGCTTTTGTTACTAGTCAGCTTTCCAACTGTCTGAATGAAGCTATATCTGATTAGGTTGCAGCCTAAGCTGCCGAATCTCATTTCCACACCCTTTTAGTCAAAGAAAAGGCCTGGAGGAGAGGTCCAGGAAGGTTTTATTTATTCCTTTTCCTTCAATCCTTAAAAGCTATGCTAAGGTACAGACAAGGTCTAATCTGAATTGGGTTTAAATCAGGACAATTGCTCTGAAAACAGAATGTCCAGCAATAAATGTCTATGATACCTCAGTTCAAAGCCTGGTCCTCCTGTGTCAGGTTTTGCCATTAGAAACCTTCCTATGCAGTTCCAGCACTTGCGTACCCATTGAGTTACAGAGCTTTCTGGTGTTCAGCAAATCTGATTCTTTCATTTGTCCATGATTTTTCCATTCATCTTCTCCTCTATCATTTGGATCTAGTGAATCTGAGGTACTTATTGCTTAAACTGTAGTGCCTGAAGCTGAACAAAGTCCTCCATATGTCTTAGATATGCCTCTCTCAATTAAAACTATAAACTAGAGCTGCCAAGTGCTGACTTAATAACATATCTATTAATAGTGACTGTTATTGGGGAAATGGGAAGAAAAGCAGATAGAAAGAGAAAAACAGTATCAAATTAGACATTTCTCTGAAAATACACTCCAACTTAACCACAAACTTCAGCCAGATAACCTACAGAGTTATGGCTATGTGGGTGATAAGCCTCCCTTTAATTTTTGCACAGGAAACTGTGCTTCAGATTAACTTTTCAGAAGGGATAACAAAAGTGATTTACTCCTACACACATAAAACCCCACACTAGCATGTTTGCTTATTGCCACGGGCAAAGTGCCTTCCAGACACTCAAGACTGTTCCCTTCTACAAGCGCTGTGCAGACCAAAGGCTGTTTTTGTTGCTTACTCGGCTGTAACAGCGGATTATTAAGTTTGTAACAAAATCTCAGGTAACATAAATATTTAGAAACAGCAATCCAGAGGGATTAAACAAACACAGAGCAGGGCTCTCACAGGTTTTACTCTGTGTTGTTATTCAACTCGCGCATTTCAGAGATAGGAAAACCAAACTGTGCAGTGCTGCACGGATTACTCCTGAAGACTAAATACCCATACATATGGGACTAGATTCATGGGAAGGATTAAAGGATCAGTATTAGACCCTGTTCCTAAATCCTAATTAGGTAATTCCTAAGGATTGTAGTTCACAAACCCCAGCACCCTGAGCACGGCTCTGCCTAGTACCAGACCTTCAATAAAAGAAAACCCAGGAAAATGCTGAAGAGGAGAAATTTAATGTGGAATTAACAACTGGAGGCTTTTTCTTTAATCTAAGTGCTGAATCAGGTCAGTTATTCTTCTCCCTCCCCTCTAAAAATACTAGAGTTGGGGTATCATGTGAAGAGCTGTCTTGCACCAAATGTTAGCCTCCACATCTCTGACATGAGACCCCCTTCAATGAAGACCATCTTAGAGTTTGGGTCATTAGGACTTCGGGTGTAATCATTGAGGGTTTTTCATGCAGAAGGGACGGGGCTGTGGTGTGTTGGGGAGTGTAAGGGGAGAGGGACAGGCTTTCTGCAATAGACCATGGGATATGTACAATCATAGAATCATAGACTAGTTAGGGTTGGAAAGCCCCTTAAGACCACCAAGTCCCAACCCCCCTGCCGTGGGCAGGGACACCTCACACTACTCACAATGTATTTTGTCTCTGTCTTGCTTTTCCCATCCATGGCCAAAAAAAACCCTAAACTCCAGCTCAGAGTGGAGGGAGGCAGTTTTATGTGGTGAGCCACTGGGCTCATACACAATGAGCCCTATTTTGGGTGGAAAAGCTTCAGTTCCAGCTCCAGAAACATGCTAGCATCAGGGGACTGACCAAGTTATAATTGAATCTCTTTGTGTTATTGGTCCCTTGGCCTTCCTAAACTGAAGCAAGCTACATTTGATTTCTTTGGCATCGTCTAGCATGTGTACTGCCAGCGTGTTGCCCTTGGTGCCTTGCGTAAGCCAAACTGGCCGCTTCTGTGACCTCTTGTTCCTTCTATACATGGAACATATTTCAATGATTTTATAACTCCTCAAATAAGGTCTCTTTTATTCTTAATCTGAATGCCCTGTTAACTTGGTTTTGGATCCTCTCCCAGTCTCTAGAATACCTGATGCTTTATATTTTGGATATACCGGACTGCCTGTTGCTCCAGGTTATGACAGTGTCTGGTTCATATAATTCTCCCTTTAGATGTTAGACTACTTATTCCAGTTCCCCTCACCACTTAAAAGAAAAAAAGGGGGGTGAGGAGTGGAATAAACAGCTTCCTTCGTAATTCTCAGTGCAAAAGCTGCCTACCAGCTCTCATACGCTGTCTCATCAGCTAGCAAAAACAAGAAGTTCCTCCTGCTGCTCACTTCAGCTTGTCCAGCCCATATAAATGGGCTGATTTTGAATCAAGAAAGCTCATTGTGTGTTGTTTCAACTCAGGTCTAAGGGCAATGTTTGAGGCACGGGGTACAGAGATAAGGTTCCCTCAAGCAAGAAACTGGCATGAGAAAAGACATATTTCCTGGAAACTGAGTTTTTATAAGCTAACCTGCGTGCAGGAATATTTGGGTAGAGAAGAATCTGCAGACAAAACAGTTTTAAACTATGCTTTTCTATTTGCCATAATGTTCTCTCTATCTCTCTCTTTCTTTTTCCCCTTAAATGAAGCATCTCTTTTGATTCTAAACCACCTTTGAAATTGCAGTGCTCTCAACTTTTCAAAAGTTTTTCATTATCTTTAGATATCAGACCTGAAATAAGCTGTTCCCATATGCTTCAGATTAAAAATTTCAGTGGAACCAATGTGAAACTGGAGTGGGGAGAGCTTGGCTTGCAGAGTTTTACTTGTTCTTATTTATTACAGGAGGGGAAAAATGAAAGCTCTGAAACCTCTCACAGGATGGGGAACAAGTTTCCTACTTACTTGAGGGGGCCAAGTTCTCCAGGCAAAGCTGCTCTCGCAGCAAAACCAGCCCTAGTGAAGGTTTCTTTCCATCAACAGATGGAGAGGAAATACTCCCCTCAAATATAAACTGGTGATGGAGGGTATAGTGAAAATGGAGAGTAGAATTAGCTGAAGGGATTGACTCTTTCTCCCATTCTCAACTCAGTTTTCTCCTCTTCCTTCTAAGTTGTTCCTCTGTACATCTTCTGCTTAGTACTGAGAATGCCGGTGTAGCTCCTGTGGTGCTGGAAGATAAGGTGCAGTTATAATAAATTATAACAATTGATCCCAAACTTATCCCGCATTTTATGCTCTTATGGTTGCTTTCATCTTCTCCCTCTATCTCTGGCCTTGGCCATTTATTCCTTGAACTTCACCCTCAAAAAGGCCTCTCAAATCCTGAAACAGCCTCTTGCGTCTCCCTCATCTGCAGCTTTTCCAGTTGAAGAATCCCAGACCATGCCAAGCTGGATGTTTTTTAGGAAAGCCTCCCAGAGGGAAGATTCAAGTGTTACTCCTTGCTCTCCTCCCACTCCTCTTTACACCTATTTTTTCAATGGTTTGAACTCTGGGCTGTATCGTCTCTGCAGCCAGTAAATTATCCAGGAATTCAGCATAAATGCATTCAGCAGCATGTGGCTTCCTATCCGTTTCTTTGCCATGCTCTACTGCAGCAGTCAGGAAAAAGCAGTGCTTTTAGCAGAATAAAAGCAGGATGAGCAGCCCCAAGTGCCTTGCTGTGACGCTGGGAGGTGCTTAGCAAAGACTACTGGACATCCAGGCCTTCAGCTTCATTATGGACATAACTGATGAGTTTCTAAAGGGTCATGAGGTCTTGGAAGTGTGCACAAGTCTGTTTGCCACTCTCAGAAGCTTTTAGAAAACCAGTGTCAGTCTCTGTTGAGGTGTTACCATTGTCAGGCACTGGAACAGGCTTCCAGGGAAGTGATAGAATAACCATCCCTACAAGTGTTCAGAAAACATGTAGATGAGGCCTTAGTAACATGGTTTAGTGATGGACTTGGCAGTGCTGGGGTAAAGGTTGGACTTGATGATCCCAAAGGTCTTTTCCAACTTGGCTGATCTTATGTTTCTTCGAAAGCATGCCATTACTTCTTAATTTCTCATCCCTTATGAACATTCTTTTTCACACATTATTCAATACAGTCTTTATTGCCTATCTAAAGTCTTCAGTCAAGAAAAACTCTACTAATTGGAAACCAAGGAGACCTTGCCAAGAGAGCACACCACTCTCCAACCCAGCAGCTGCAGCAAAGGCAACACGGAGCCCAGGATGACTTCCTCTACATCTGCTGAGGAAATTGGTCCAGGTAGAAGATATGACTGGGTAACTCCAGGTTGTCCTCCAAAAGTCATGCCATGTTGGCAGAGGATGACTCACTGCCATGCAAAGTGGCATCGTGTGCGCTGGGACCAAATGCTGCTTGCAGAAATCCCTGCTGTGATTTACATCCATAATCCTGGGCAGTAGAAAAGCTGGAGTTCCCACAGGAGTCCTGTAACCAGCCAAAATCATGGCAATGGAAGAATGTGCAGTGACCAGGACAGGTCAAGGAAGGCTTCAGTGGTATCCTACAAGCACTAGGAAGATATCTCTAAAGCTACTACTAAAATACAACTCGCTTTTCAGCTCTAAACCCTTTTCTTCACAGAGAGGGATTTTTTCTGGGCATTATTGCAAGGATGATTCTGAAAGGGCAGGGAAGTGTGAAGGGCTAAGAGGAGGTCAGGGACAGAGAGACATGGCAACATGGGACTGGTCTGGACCAGAAATACAAGACAACATGGAATGGAAAGGATTAGGTATCTTACCTAATCTTCCAGGTGAGGATAATATCCAGGTTTTCCAAGCCATCTCCATTTAGAAATAAGGAAAAGAGAGAATTGTAATCACTCTATCACTACAAGTCACTGATGTTCTGAAGCTTAAAATAATAGCCTGAAATCCCAAGTAAGGAAGCAATTACTGATTATAAATATATTATATAAAACATGTTTTAGAAAAAAATCCCAGTTCCTCTTTCCTTTTCTCACAAATCATTCCCTGAATTTTGTACAAGTATTTGCTAATCATTAACATTCATTAAAAAAAAAAAGAGCACTACCTTCAGGCAGTAGGATGCCTGTGAACTGTACTCTTAAAACAGCCTATATGATTTCCTAGTAAGAGCTGGCCACACTGTCATTTGCAGTGTCAGTGGCCAGCTAAACCTGGTGAAATGAGCTGTACTACAGCATGAGGTGCGCTAAGGGGTGAATGAAATGATTCTGTTGTCAGAAATGAGTGGTTAAGGACATGTAAGCACTTTAAGAAACCCCCAGAGGCTGCCCCATGTGTTTGTGAATATGTTATTGAATTATCTGATGAGCTCTGGGTTGCTATGGGAACTTGATGAACTTGGAGAGACACAAAAACGAGGCCTTTCCATTTGGGACAGTGATGTCTTTGGTCCCAAGCACATCACGATGTACTGTAATTATGTTAATGCCAACAGAGCAATGATATCATGCAAAGACATGACAGGTCATATTTTTTTCATATTAGGAGAGAGAGCTGGAACATGTGCATATGTGTATAGGAGTCTGTAATGAAACTGCCATTATGGGGCCCTTGTGTGCTTGCAGTCTCATTTCACTGAGTTAAGAGTACTTACTTTTCTTAATGCTTGCTTAATGTGTTTACTTAAACATGTTTAATAGTCTATGGAGTCCATTCCCATTTACTGTTGGAGGTTTCTTTAGAGCATCACAGTGGCACAGCTGCTTAAGATACCTGTGAAAGTAATGACAATGTATTGAAAGGGGGCCTAAAGGATGATGGGGATGGATTCTTCATTAGGGACTGCAGTGACAGGACAAGGGGTAACGGGTGCAAACTTAAACAGGGGAAGTTTAGATTGGATACAGGGAGGAAGTTCTTTCCTGCTAGGGTGGTGAGGAACTGGAATGGGTTGCCCAGGGAGGTTGTGAATGCTCCATCCCTGGCAGTGTTCAAGGTCAGGTTGGACGAAGCCTTGGGTGAGATGGTTTAGTGTGAGGTGTCCCTGCCCATGGCAGGGGGGTTGGAACTGGATGATCATAAGGTCCTTTCCAACCCTAACTATTCTATGATTCTATGATTCTATGAAAGTCCTGGATGTTCAGGATGTAAGAGGGCAACCTTCAGTTTTGTAATGCAAATAAGTAAATGAGGGAAACTGGGGGCGTATATTAAAATAGAGCAACCAGCCAGGAAAGTAACAAATTGCTTTATGTACACAAATGGAAAGAGTGAAGAAGGCCAATTTCTTCTTTCAGATGTTGCTCATTGTGGAAGTAATAAATGCCCAGTTTGGAAAAAAATGTAATAACAGTGCAACATATTGCTCTCTGTGCTCCCTGTTCCCCATCTGACCTCATCATTATTGCATTCCTGGCAGCAAGCCAGCTTGGCTTCAAGGAAAAGACTGGATAGGTCTCAAAAACCTCTGTGACCTGGTGGTTAGGACACTCACTTAGTCTGAAGGAAGGAAGGTCTAGGGCCCCTTTGCCTCAACAATAAACTCTTTCTTCCTAGAGGAATGCAGGAGCATGCAAACAGCAGCCATTACCAAGAGGAAAGGCAAGAGGTCCACACACTGGGAACCTTCTCTGGGTGGCCTTGGGTTGATGTGGCTGACTGACTGAGATTGTGATGGAGCTCTAGTTGGGAGATCACCACCTGGTTTTACCATCACAGGCTGTTCTGACCCTGTCTGAAGACTAAAGCTAAGCATCAAGGGAAATGTCAGGTGAAGTTGCTGCAGCTATTCTCATTCATAGGTCAGTATACAGGAAACTGCTCAGTGACCTAGGGGAAGAGAGGCAGCAGAAGAGACTAAAAGCCTTGAAGCAGAGGCACCAAGCAATTGAGAATCCACCCTTAAACTGCAGGAATAGTAAGGGATTTTACACTCACCCCTTCTGTATTTCAGTACGGGGAGTCCTGTTGTTCCTTCTAGGGGCATATATATGTTAGAAGAGCAGGTTCTGGTGGCAAGGGACACAATGATCTCTTCAGAAGGGTCCCAGCTGCCTTTCCCTGTTGAGTGACACTCACACTGCTGGGCCTGGGGAGCCAGTGCTCATGCATGTAAAATCACTCTTTTCAATTTTCTGTTTCTGTAACATGACCTATTACTATACTACATCTTCGTGAGGCAGAGCTGTCTGGAGAACATCTGTTGCAGTCCCAGCTGTTCGGGTACTTCCTCCGTCTGATGTTTCAGCCCTGATATGTACAAATCACTGACAGTAATACATCCCTCAGTTCCTCCTACAAATCCCATTTTCTCTGTTCTCACAAGCAGGGTGGGAGGGGGGGAAATAAAAAGATGCTTTGCATGGTTAAATACAGGCTAGATGCTTTATTCTCACCAAATTGCACCAGTAAGGTCATTGTGGACTGACTCATACCAGACAGACAGTAAAAACCATCCTAGTGTTTATTCCCCTTGGAACCTATATAATTAAAGCTGCCCACCTGCTCCTGAACTTTGCTGTCATTTTTTGATGTTATGGGCAATGTGATACTCAGTTATTATCATAAACTATGTTAAGCTCTACCCACTATGGGGTTTATGACAACAATTCTTGAGAAAACTGTAATCCTCTGTGCTCAAGTATATCTCCTTGTTATAATGCTTATGATTCTTGGCTTGAGATGATGGCAGATGATGTCCATGAAAGACTTCCAAATATGGGTCCTGGCAAGTCGCTGTCTCCCTAGCTTGCCTGCACTAGATACAATATTTGAAGCCATTTTCAGACCATCTTTTCCAGCCTTTCAGCATAGCCATCATTCCTTTCAGCACGACTGAGAGATGTGGTAGCCTGTCCCAGGGTAATAAGGTCTCCCTCCTCTCCAAACGCAGCCTGCACATACCTGCTGAGGATCCAGGGGAAAATTGAGGTATCTGCAAGGAGGTAGGAGAGTCCAGGGTGTCACCTAATCAGCTCTCATACAGATTCACCATGGACTTTACAGTCAATTGCCTCCTTTCCCTTCCTGGTCCACAACTCTTGTTCTCATCCCCGTGCAAGAGGAAACATCAGGATGCCTAGCCAAGGGTGCTCAGTGAGTCAAGATTTGGGGTAATTTACAGGGCTTTGGCTGGAAAAATTTGCAGGGATTGGAGTGTACAGAGCCCTTCTCCCACACCTTGAGTGAGAGTTACAACCCCCCTGTTATCACATTAAATAGTGGCAAACCTTTTGAGTGTGTTTGAAAAGGAAACACTGCTTGAATTTTGAGAGGTGTTGTACTGAAGAGCACTCCGGGCTGTGGGTCCCATGCAGACTGATGGAGTTGGGATGTTTCCAGTGTCCAACATTTCCTCTTGGAAAAATGGTAATTATTGACTAGTCCTCCATACACACTGCACCGACATTGACAAAGACCAAAACACATCTCCAATACTAAACATTCAATCAACTACATTTGAAAAAAACATCTATCTTCTGAGCTCCAAACACTGTGGACTAACCAAAGGACATCAACTTGCAGTATGACAAGTACAACCGTGGGGCAGCTCAAATATTACACAGCCCTGGAAACAATAAAATGGGTTTCCCTATCACTCAATACTGGTGACATATCTATTAAAGCAACCATCATAAAATGATTACTCTATGACAGAAAACAGTAATCATAGAATAGTTAGGGTTGGAAAGGACCTTAAGATCATCAAGTTCCAACCCCCCTGCCATGGGCAGGGACACCTCACACTAAACCGTACCACCCAAAGCCTTGTGTTTTGTATTGTAAACTCTCTTCATCGGCTTCTGGAAAATTAAAACCTACCAAGAATATGTCTTTATACTGAAGCTCTTTAGATGGTACAAGCACTGAAGGGTTTGGAAATTCAATTTGAGTTCTGAAGCACCAAACATTTCAAAATTCAACACTACCTGCTTACAAAAAATCCACATCTGATACAGTTTTCCCCATACCTGTGCCTCCAGCTACAATCTTGGCAACAAAAACCTATCAAAATTAACAATCCAAACATGTTTCCAAGACAGTTGGGTCATCCACAGTTTTTGGAAGCAGCAATTTCTCTTCACTGCCAAAATATTGTCTATCATTTGTTTCCTGATACTCCTGGAGGGACTTACCCGGTGTTTATTAAATAATTTGAATCTGTATGGCAAAACTTCCATTTAATGCTAGTTGAAATATGAATTATTTATCACGATTCCCACCCCCATCCCCCCTTCCCCAGCTTTCTTAAAGACAACACATGGGTTTTGATAAAAGCTTCTGAATACTGGATGTGCATAAGCCACACACAACCAACTTTCTGTAGTAGCTGTAGGACAAAGGTTTGACGCTAACACCTCTTGCACAGTCCCTCCAGGATGTTCAAAGCATGTTTTCCCCTCATATTCCTCTTGCGCACAGTTGCTTAAGAAAAAGAGGGGAATAAAGAGCCGTTGCTCAGTGCTGATGACAGCAGCTGTCAGAAAGCTTCTAGCTTCTTAAGGAGAATGAGCTATTCTCTCAAATAGTCAAATCTAAGTCTCCCAGTGACTTCCATGAGGACAAATTCAACCTGAAACACTCTGATGGCCTCCCTTAATGGCTGGGGACACAGTTCCACTTTATAGACCATGTTCTGGGAGAAGCAAGGTTAAGTCAGGCCCTGAATGGCATAACAAACCAGCTGTGCCTTCCACTGACTGAGAAACAGGGCTCAGCTCTGGGACAGAGCCACCCCAGTGCGGCCACTAGTATCTTCACTCTGTCACCAGCTCCTGTTTGGGAAATAATTGACCTTGGTCTTGGTTTGCTCTCCTGGATGCTCTGAAAGACAGTCAGTGTCCTGTGATTCCCTGTGCCAAAGAAGCACTACTGATATAATGAGGAGGGTGATGGCTTCAGACAGACTTTAATTTGGTGCATGGATCCAAGCCCAAATCTCATCTCTTCCTGCCTTAAAAAAAACACCCTATAATTTCTCAGTATTGCAATATCTCTCCTAT